CTGCACCCTTAAGGATTTAGATCAATCCTTACATTAATCCGATGCTCTTGCATGGAAGTGGGCAAAATGCAAGTAAATGTTCCTCGTTGGCAATTACAAATGCATTAGCATTGTTTGGTGTACAGTTGCTGGTTCGTAGGCGCCCACCTTGAAATTTTTCTGGTTCCTTCTGACGATATTGACCTCCTTGCTCTTTTGTTGCAAAAGCTGCGCAGTGGTGAAGTTGTGCCTTTTTTCTTTGGAACAGGATCCAATTGACCACTACTTTAAATTCATTGGACATTTGTTGGTCCGCTCAGTCGTCACGTTTGTTGGCGCGCACGTGGAAGAAATGAGAGTGGCGGAATTATAAGGGATACGAAAGTTAAAAGATAATTTCAAGGAATGCGGTTGAAAATACAGAGGATTTGTTAAGGGACATAATAGGGCGGCGTGCTTCACTGGAAAAATAAATTAACAAAAAATACCGCAAAGCTTTTCTTGCTCAGATATTGCTTTCTGGCGCAAAGTTTTAACCTGTGTAAACCGCAAAAAAGAGAAAAACCTCTTCTAAGGCTAGAATACTGCGTAAAGTAGCTCAAAATATACCGATCTGGACAAGTGTTAACCGCTGAATAAGCTGAAAGCAAAAGCAATGCAATACATGCAGTAGTTTGCGAGTTATTTGTAATTAAATGATGGGTTACGAATAAGGCCATTACCATTTTTCGCTAAAAATGGCTTTCTGCTTTGCAAGCAGATAGCAGGAAAATGAAAAAGAATGTAAAAGGTTGCAAAGCGGTATATGTTCTAAATAGAAGCGCCATCCAGCAATGCCATAATTGGCCCCTAATACCCTGCGACAACTAGGGACTGCGTAGGTGGCCGAAGAGTACACTTTGCAGGCATACATGGCAAATATACGCAAATAAGCGATAATCTTTCGCGAAAACGCTAGAAATCCAGTAAGGATTAACATGTCTCCATGGGAACGCTAGACAGCTTATAATTAACCCACGGTTAGAAGGCCTCAGCATGCCATTTTCAGTGGATCCTGAGCCACATAAACAACCAGGAATATAGAGTTTAGTACATTTTTAAGCCACTAAGTGTTTCTGAAGCTTATATCAAGGCCGCATGAACCGAATCTACCTGAGTAACACAGGAGACCTTCCGGATCAGTTGGCACATTTTGGCCTGGAAAACACACCCATTTCTTAGCTAAACATCGAAAGTTTTATCATCTAGTGCCGATTTTCTATATTCATGAGGCTATGTATCTAACATCAGTGAGCTAGAGAAGCCTGTCACGAATAATAAAGAAATGAGTATGGGAAAATTAAGTAAAAATTGGCAACTACCTTTTGGGCTTGAAATCCGTTTCGGTCTGCGTTGGTAGGGCATTACCAACGCTACTTCTGGTGATTGAGCTTGCTCGAACTTGAGTGATTGTTATGCCTCAGGTGTTAATGCACACTATTGTGCAGCTCTTTGATGTATTTCGAGTTATTTCTCTCCAATTTTAGGTTCCGAAGCAATTGCCGGCGTTATTCGTCCAGGTGGCAATGTTAACTAGTACTCTACTGTCACACCGGCTATTTCTTTTGTGGTTTTCCTGGCAAGGGCTGTCCTAGCATCCTAAGCAAAAAGAGTGAGAAGGTAAACCAAGAGTAAAATAGTAACAACAATCAGTGGGAGCTGGTCGTTCACCCGCCATTACGCATAACGCATGGTAGGCTTTGGAGCCAGCTAAAAGATAAATAACACACGGGTGGCCAAGATAAGAAAAGTGGTGATGGAAAGTTTCTGGTGCTCTAGCCAGCCAGTGTGACAGGGGCCTCTCTGAGGTTGGTTAGCTTTCGCGCCAGTGAAATAGTATCTAGAAATGCGAATGTTTTACTAGCAAAAGCAGTTAAAGAAGAGGATCTGGTTTACATTATGCCTGTCTACTAGTGTTGCCAATAGCGCAAGGCATATGTATACCAGATAAGGCTAAGTATATGGGGCCAAGAGAGGATAAGAGGAGAGAAAAATGTCTGATTCTTGGGCTTAGAAATTTTAAAGTGCTCTCTGTCAACAATATGAAAGATAGATATATTATTTTGCTGGCTACATACCGATAGCTGTTGGAAACTGCAAAGTAAAATATCTAGTGCTCAGACTTAACGAAAAAGCGTCAATGATGGACAGCTAGCATCCGACAGCTACAAAAGGCACGTAAAGGTTCATTTGAACCGGCAGTTAGACGGCTTTGGGCAATTCTAATGCTAACCTTAGGTGCAACAGCAGCAACAAACGTTGCTGTGGGGTCCTAATGTGCATATACCCAATCGGTGGAAACCAGAGAGAGAAGGACGAGGTGTGCAGATTATGGGAAAGAATATCACTCCGAAGCAGCGACAGGGACGTGTTACCTCTGTCCTAAGTTGTTAGGAATGCACGAAGTCTGGGAAGACAAACACATGTAAGTCAGTCGAATGAGGATGGAATGCAACAGAAAGCACGGTTACGAAAGAAAAGGGTCTGTAAAACAAGTTCTATTGAACAGAAATGGAAAATCCGCCGACGTTCTTCAGGTTATGATTCATCCTTGTTAATAAAAGGAAGGATGAATAATACCCATTGATGTAATTAAGGTAAGGGTGACAGAGCTATGCGCCTGAATAGGTAGATAGTATGGCGAGCCAAGCAATAAGAATGAAGGGCATAGAGTATTGGGACTACAGGGCCTAAACCCTTTATGTCTCGGATGTCTGGAAGCAGTCGGTAAGGTGACTGGCCAGACGAGGCTAGAATAGAGCCGGGTTTGAAAAGTTAAGCATCCAATGGCTACAGGAATACAAACAGGGAGCGCGAACATGAAAGAATGTGGCCGGGGAGGAGGAGATTATCAAAGAGAAGTGGAAAAGCCTACAAAGATCTCGAAGTGTTACGAACGGACCTTTGAACCTGTCGATGGTTCTAAGTATGGGCTCAGTTTTCGGAAAGCAAGAGACCATGGAGAGGAGGGGAGGATACCGGCTGATGAAGAGAAAGCCGTATCATAAATATCGGAATGTTAACAGATCGTCACCAGGATAGAATTGTTAGGGATAAAATGGGATATACTAATGATGCATCATGAGCAGCAGTGTCGTGGAGGCGGGAAGACATAGCTTTGCGTTTGCAGAGACTAGATCATTTAGATCTCAGAAGTCGGAGACAGGTCAGAAGGCAGGAGACCATACAGGCAGAACCACATAAGTCAGACACAGGGTGCGAAGAATGGCTCTACAGATGGGAAAAATTAAAAAGCCAACGATATGCTCCAAGTGATGTGCACAGACGGTTGGGTCTGCCGGATCCTGCTCACTAGGGTCACGGAAGTTGGTGCTTATGGTTCATATAGCGTTGCTCGGCATACTAGAGAACGCATGAACGCCGTATGTTGCATTGTTATTATGCGAA